CTATCCTGCCCATGTTTAACGTTATCCAGCTTTCTGCTTCCTAGTTTGGTGTGTGTAGAGTGGTGAATCTCATCATTGCTCTTTCAGGTTTGCATTTATGTTTTTTTAAAGACGTTGGACATTTCTGTTTAGCCATTTGAGTTGCATCTTAAGCACATTGACTCTTATCATTTGCTCATTTTCTTACTGAGCATAATGTCTTTTTCGTGTTGATGTACAGGGTATATCATATATTGTACTCATTAGGTTATTGTGAGTTTCGGACCTTGCAATGCTGTTTACCATTATATTGCCTGTCCATTGGTTTTGTCAGTGGAGAAACTCAATATGCTATTACAGGAACTTGTTTTTAAGGATTTGTCTTTTTCCTCCCTAATGATCTGTACTTTGCAGTTATGCTTAAAGGGTCTTTTTCTGCTCCTAAGTTATAAATTTTCTCTCAAAAATATATAAATTTTCTTTTTCACATTAGAAACATTGACCAACCTGGATGTCTCGATAAGATAAGCATATGGTTTTTATGTGACAATCTGTTGGAGTCATGTCTTCTAGTCCCCCAAATTTTGTTAGTGAGGGCGTCCAGGGTGCATGGGTGCCATGCAGCACCCCACACTTCCCTGTCTCTGCCTCCTCGCGGCTCCACATGAGTGTGCATTGAATAAAAATTGTTCTTGTCAGCCTGGACAAATGCCCCAGGGATCTGCGAAGTCAATCCTAGGCTCACCAAACTGTGAGCAGCATTTTGGTTCTTACAAGGAAAATACATGAGACAAGAATTCCATGTTGCTTCGATAAGTGAGTGGACAAGGCTCTGAACTTAAAGTTTCTAATTATATCTCGTCAACCAATGTTATGTCATAGGGAGGGAGAGTGGAGAGAGAGATTGTGTAGGGAAGGGAAAATTCTTCCTTCTCCTTCTGAGTGCGTCTCTCTGGGCCTAAGAATTAAAAAGGCATGATATAGATTAGTGGGAGAAAAACATACACATTTTTTAAAGTAATTTTAGCATATATATGGGAGCCCGCATGAAAAAGGGAAGCCTCCAAGAACCAACACACCAGGCTGGACAAACCTGAACACGGTACAAGACAGAGGAGTTGGGGGTGGGGCAGTTAACTGTGGAAGAAAGACTAGGAAGATAAGGGTTAGTTTCATGAGTGTGCGCTTGTGTGTGTGTGTGTTTTGGCCAAGATTTCTCGGAGCTTCAACTTCCTGTCTCTAGTAATAAGAATGTTCCTTCCTCCTGGAGTACAAAGATACCTTTCACATGGGAATTTTATCTCCTGCTTTTAGACAGAAAAATAAGAGCCAGAATGCCCCCTCCTTTTTTGCATCTGTTGTTTTCAAGTGCCTTTAATTCAAAGTAATCAATGTGCCAGAGGCATATGTATTGGGGTGGCGCCTTCTGACCCCCTCCGATGGAACACATTTATTTGCCTCTTATTTTAAGGCCCAAATACCCTAAGCATAACCCAGTGAGCAGCCCCAAGCGGTCCGTTCCGACCCAGTCGCAAGTGAAGGGCGGTCATGGGAGCGGTGCCCTCCCGTTTATGAAGACCCACTTATCCCGCTCCTGTTAGTTGCGACAGGTTGTGCAGACGTGACAGTGTAAGGAGCGTGCGCACCGCGGTTTTAGTTGTGGCACGGCTCTGTCTGCAGCACCTCGACAGGTACGGGGCACGTGGCGTGGTAGACGCTCAAACTAAATAATCTTGGAATGACCGGATGGGCGGGCATAGGGGTGTTCCAAGGGTGAAGAATGTGGTTTTAGACAATCTTTTCCCGCGTGTTTACAATGACTCTACTTGTTAGTGAGATGCACGGGAGATGTAATTAACACCCCCCCAAAAGAAAACAAAAACCACACACACCAAAATTATTTTTGAGTCAAATAAACATAAACATTTTCTATTGTATTTGCCCTGAAACGCAAGGCTGTGAGTATGCGGTTCCATAGTGCAGCGGTTAGCACGTCTGCTTTACACGCAGAAGGTCCTGGGTTCGATCCCCAGTGGAACCAGCGGGGAATGGTTTCTTCTTCCCCCTCCCCAAGGCAAAGGGAAGGTCTTTTGTTCTTCGTTTAGGAAAAACAATTCTCTCCCGTCGCGTCTCCGGGAGATCCACTGTCACAGGCTGCTACCTCTGGGTCGCAATGGAGCGTCAGATTGTGTCCAAGAATACTGCTTTTTGTCTCCTCCAGACACGTAAGAGTAAGGGAGAAACAGGTTTTCGGGAAGCCTGAGAGACACTAACCTTTCTCTTTCTTCACCAGCGCCTCCCTCCCAGGAATTCCTCAAATCCTGAAACTGGGCGGAGAGAGGAGGACCCTCAGCGGAGAAATGTGGGCGGGACCGATCAGGGGCTGCTGGCAGGCCCGGCCCTCTAGAAAATCCAACTCCAGCCCCTCCTGGAAACTGTCGGGAAGGAGACTCCAGGATTATTCTCCTTGAAAGGAGGAAACAGGCCTCTGGTCTGGACTGCGCGGTGGTATTTGACGCCCTTGGTGGCTGCGGTTCCTTAGTAAAAACAAGAGAATCTACGAAAACCTTACACAGTGAGTCCTCCCCCACCTCACTTCTAGTCACAGCAACACAGAATCAACGGAAGTCATCATTTCTCTCCCCTCGCATCAAGATCGCTTGCACTTGTTCCGCTCAGATCACAGCCTGCTTTTCCAGGTTTCCCCATAGGCGGCTGCGCTCCCGGGCCTCACACTTAAAGACCGAGGGGCCTGGTTGCGTAGGAAGCTCCCAGACCAATCAGTATTCGTGCACTCACGGCAGAGGCCCAGTTTAATCTCATAACCCCCTGCTCAGTGTACAGCAGCCTGGCTCGTGGGGCTCGCCCAAAGCTGCGCCATGCCCGGCGCTGCTCCCTCTGGGTGGAGACAGGCGGGTGCCCGTCCACCACACGCGAAATGGAGTAGAAATAGCCTACAGAAAGGGGGAAATGGAGGCAGATGTGATACAGCGAGGAAGGGTGACCACAGTGAATGCTGTTACAAGACTGGGACGCAGGGATGACCGGCAAACACACATTCCAGCTCATCTGGTGAGACCTCCACAGTCTGTGAGTTTTAGAATTTACGTCAGGCAGACAGGTGGGGAGGGATGAGGCTAATTTTGCCCTAAGGGCAGGCTTTGAGAAATCAAAGAAGATACCACCTTGCTGAAACTTTTAATAAGCTGCTAACAATGTGAGAAAGAAGACAGAAAACAGTATTTTTTGAGCTCCCACAATCCACAAGGCCAGGGGAGATGCGGCGTCACCTGTGTGTTCTGAGTGTGGTGCTGCGGAGAAGTGGGCTCAGGGTGGCTCTTTTGGGGACCTGGTCATCTCGTCACCTCCCGTCTCAGATCGTCTCTCCTCCACACCCACCTCGCCCAGTCCACTTCCCCATTGTAACTATTGTACAAATGGAGGAGGTGAGAGACAGGGGCTATTTTCCTGAGCCATGATACCCTCGCCAAGGGTTCCTCCAGTTTTCTCGAATAGCACAGCTTATGGTTTCTGAGCACTTGCCTGGCCGCAGGACTCATGATCCGTCTGCTGGGAAAGATGGCACAGTAAACCTGGATCTGCATTTGGAGTCATTTCCTCGTGTTCAAAAGGACAAATTTTATTTACTTATTTTTTTATTACCTCAGCTTCCTCTTTGGGACTTCTAGCCAATACCCGCTGGACTTGAGTAGAGTTGGGAGGAGAAGCAATGCAGAGAGAAAAACGAAAACAAAAACCATGGGCACTTTCTGTTTGGCCGCCTTAAAGGGGTGATAAGGAGCAACGATGAGATGAACGTTTGTCTTTTTGGTTCCGAGTACAAATCCCTTGAACTTCGCAAGGGTTTTTCAGAGTCTACACTGCAGTTGAAAAAGGTGGGAAAATGCACATGAAACCTCAAGCTCCTGCCATTGAGTCAGATTCCCACAGAGGCTGCTGTGGCCACAACACACAACACTAACCACCACGGGATCAGTGCGCCACCAGAGCCGCCCGCCACGACCCTTCCTCTGCGCACTTCCCAGTTCATCTCCATTTATTCTCAACCTAAAATAGCGCCCTTATGCTCCATAGCTCATTCATGGGACACATATCACCTGACAGCACCTATTCCAAAGGAGTAGGGCCACGAATTTACCAAAATGGAAATCAGTAACTTCTGATATGTTAAACCAAACTCTAGTTCTCGTTAAAGTTTACTTCTAAATAAACTGGAAGTGACTACTTAGACAATATGGCAGGTTCTGTGTACCAGCTTTTTATGATAGTGTAAGTGGCTCTGAAAAGAGCCTTTGGTTTCCAGCGTTCCTAACCTGATTCCTCCTTACTTGGCCTTGTGGTGGCTCTCGGTCTTCTTAGGCAGCAGCACGGCCTGGATGTTGGGCAGGACGCCGCCCTGCGCGATGGTCACCTTGCCCAGCAGCTTGTTGAGCTCCTCGTCGTTGCGGATGGCCAGCTGCAGGTGGCGCGGGATGATGCGCGTCTTCTTGTTGTCGCGGGCCGCGTTGCCCGCCAGCTCCAGGATCTCGGCCGTCAGGTACTCCAGCACGGCCGCCAGGTACACGGGCGCGCCGGCCCCGACGCGCTCGGCGTAGTTGCCCTTGCGCAGCAGGCGGTGCACGCGCCCCACCGGGAACTGGAGGCCGGCCCGCGACGAGCGCGTCTTGGCCTTGGCGCGCGCCTTGCCGCCCTGCTTCCCGCGGCCCGACATGCTGAGTACAGCACTTTCACGATAACTAGCTTTAAAAACGAAACTGCAGAGACCGCACATTTTATAAGTTTTTCGGAGCGAAAAAGCAGATGTGTCATTGGTTAAAGTTTTAACTTCACCTTGACCAATGAAAACGTATATTTCATAATCTTGCGTTCTGATTGGACCAATCTAATTTTTTTTGTGTGTACTGATTAGCCACCAATCAGACAAAGGATTTTAGTTCATCACCTTATTTGCATGCGAAGTTTTATATAAATAGGGCACGTTGTCTTATACTGTCACTATTTTCCGCTTTTGAGCAAGCGTTTTCTGTTTTCTCAACCATGCCGGAACCAGCCAAGTCCGCGCCCGCCCCGAAGAAGGGCTCCAAGAAGGCGGTGACCAAGGCGCAGAAGAAGGACGGCAAGAAGCGCAAGCGCAGCCGCAAGGAGAGCTACTCGGTGTACGTGTACAAGGTGCTGAAGCAGGTGCACCCGGACACGGGCATCTCGTCCAAGGCCATGGGCATCATGAACTCGTTCGTCAACGACATCTTCGAGCGCATCGCGGGCGAGGCGTCGCGCCTGGCGCACTACAACAAGCGCTCGACCATCACGTCGCGGGAGATCCAGACGGCCGTGCGCCTGCTGCTGCCCGGCGAGCTGGCCAAGCACGCCGTGTCCGAGGGCACCAAGGCCGTCACCAAGTACACCAGCGCCAAGTAAGTGCCCGCTGCAGGCACCTCTTAATCCAACGGCTCTTTTCAGAGCCACTCAGTTGTCAGCATCGGAGTTGTAGACACATGTTTCAAAGTGGGTGAAGTACACATGTGCCATTAATAGGGGTACAGAATCACTCTTCAAAGTTTTTAAACGTGGAGCGGTGCTATGTGTTTAGGGTGTGTGCATCTAGAGTTAGAAAAGAGAAACTGGCCACCGCGAGAACACAGGGCACTGGTGAATTTCAGGGGACACGAAACGGACAGCAATGCTGTTGAGAAGGGGAACAGCAAGGTGTAACCATACTCTATTTCGGTGTTAATTTCAGACTTGTTTCAATAGCATCTGTTGTGTGCTTGATATATTTTAGTATTTAAAATAGTACCAGAGTAAATGTAAGAAAAAAGCAAATCATATTGTCAAAACTCAAAACGGCCCCAAATGTGCTAGTGTAGTTGGTAAACGAATGTAAAGGGAGCTACTTAACAGTGGTGCTGGCGTGATGGAGGAACTGCTTGGCACGGTTATACCTCGAGCCTTGGAGACCTAAAAGAGGGCAAAACATGTGGACTGGGCCGAGACCACACTGTGCCAAAGAACAACGCGAGACAAACCACGACCAGCATTACTTTGTGCAGACCGCTCATCCTGACATTATATATTTAAAAAAGCGGTCCCTAAACTTTCTGGCACAGGGGACTGGTTTCATGGAAGAAAAAAATTCCACGGACAGGAGGCGGGGCGGGGGGTGGAGCTCGGCCGGTCTTGTGAGCGACGGGGACCGGGATGGAGTTCTGCACGCTCGCCCGCTGCTCAACTCCTGCTGTACGGCCTGGTACCGGCCCCTGGCCCGGGGATTGGGGACCTCGGATTGAAAGAACCGAAGAGTTTGGTGATGGGCACGACCCCAGGCCTCTGACACACGGTGAATCAGGCTCTCGGCAGTTCCAACCCGCAGCCGGAAACGGGGCGGCGGGGGTGGGAGGGGGGCGCCGGGCGCGGAGAGCGAAGGTCACAAAGGACCCCACCCTCACCTCCTGCAACGGTGCCACCGGTCCCTGAATACTGTCCCCGCCACATTTCCAGAACCAGCGTTAACCTAGTAAACTGCACTAAACAAACATGGCTCTAGACATTGTTTGCCAGCAATCACTTCAGCTTTTTCGATAAAAACTTGGCCTGAAAAGGGCCTTTGCTTTTGCTAAAGAAAACAAGTTTGTGGGTTCAACTGAGGACATACTTAACCCCCCCCCAACAAATTTACAGCCATATTATATCATTAAAGTGGTCGATAATAAAAAGCTAAATAAGAACTCATGATTCAAGGCAGGCCGACTTAAGAGGGACAGGGGAAGAGGAGGCGGCGAGCCCGCGACCGCGGCAGGGAGCTCCCCTTTGACGGCCTCGGGGCTAAGGGGCAGGCAGCCGAGTTAGTGCCCCGACCTCTTTGTCTAGTCGACGGTAACTTACAAACTGCTTAACTTCGAGTTTAGGGAGGGGCCGGCCTGAGACTGGAAATGAGCAAGTCCCTCCTAGTTAATCCTGAAATCGCTTTAGGGGATGGGGGAGCGGGTGTTCCCGTCGTCACCCCAAGCACTGGAGAAATTTAGACGCAGCCCTTTGCTATTTATATCATATCTTACCCGGTTGGGATTCTGGGTGGCCGGCGAAACTAAAGACACTAGATTCTAATTTGGGATCCTCGCCAATCGCAGGACTAAAAGGTATGACGTTCCCCAAAACTTTTCTGGACAGGCGCAACCTTTGTTTTACACTACGAGTCTCTCTTCAGGGTTTATTTTGCCATCCCAGCCTCAGTACCCCTAACCAGTCACGAAAGGCGCACACAGCTCTTCCGGAAGGGTGGGCGGCCCTGAAAAGGGCCTTTGGTGAAGAAAAGAGTCGCAGGGACCGGTGATTCAGCCGCCGAAGCCGTAAAGGGTGCGGCCCTGGCGTTTGAGCGCGTAGACCACGTCCATGGCCGTGACCGTCTTGCGCTTGGCGTGCTCCGTGTAGGTGACGGCGTCCCGGATCACGTTCTCCAGGAAGACCTTGAGCACCCCGCGCGTCTCCTCGTAGATGAGCCCGGAGATGCGCTTCACGCCGCCGCGCCGCGCCAGGCGCCGGATGGCGGGCTTGGTGATGCCCTGGATGTTGTCGCGCAGCACCTTGCGGTGGCGCTTGGCGCCGCCTTTGCCGAGACCCTTCCCGCCTTTGCCGCGACCTGACATTATGAGCAGATTCAAAGTCTGAAACGCGCCAAGAGTGTCGGCAGCTCCTTCTTATAGGGAACCCTGGCGGACCAGAGTGGAAACCGAAAGAGCTAAGGCAGGAAGTTGCTCTGGGTGGCAGGAAGGAGCCTAAAAGCAGAAAACCACCTGGAGTCTCTTTTCTTTTCTTTCTCTCCTTTCTTTTCCTTTGAATCTTTAGCACCCGGGCTGTGTTTCTCCCTCTTTTCTTATTTTTGTGCTTTGCGCTTCATCCAAATTAAACAACAAAACCTTAACATTGTAAAGAATAGATAAAAACGCAGTGAAAAATATATTTTGTTTTTAACTCTGCATATATACGTGTGTTTTCTCTCTCTAACAGTGTTTGCATGAGGCCACAACCTTGGGACGTGTCTCTCCTTAATATATAGGAGAGATATACTCCATATACTGACTGCACAGATATTGACCAAGACGGAATAATAAAGGAGAGAATATTAAGATCTTCCAGATATATTTTTTAAATTGTTTCACCAAAGTTACCAATTTTCATTTTCCACAGCAGCTCCTGGCGTGTCCTACTAATAATTGGTAGACCACTTCAAAAATAATTCCAAAAATCCAGAAACAGAGTATTAAGTATAAAAGAAATAACAAGCCAGTTAATCAATACAACATATCAAGTATTTTCCTACTGATTTGAGGAACTTAATTTCTCATACTGAATATTTCACTTAAAATTAAGTCTTGAGTTTTATTGTTCTGCTGATCAGTCTATGTGTAGTGCTGAAGTATTATTATTTCTAAGGTTGAAAACTACTTTACTATTTGACTGTAAATTCCAACTTCAGGTTTTTCCAAAACACTTCTATTATCACCAGTCTTTTTTTAAAAAGTGACAAATAATTTTATGCACTTGCAACAAATAAACTGTCTTAGTAAATTTATCCATTGGTTTGGGTAAATTTACTTTTGCAATACCGTGTCCTTCTAACCTGAAAAATAATACTACCAATCCCACATATATATCTCAGTAGAGTGTTTTCCAGATAATATATAATTTGGAAAATTAAACCTGCATTAATTACAAGAGCAATTAATTTTTTACTAGTGAAATGTAGAAAATTCAAAAGAAAGGAAAAGGCAGTATATCTTGTTTACTATATTTCTTCAGCATTAGTTAGCTGGAATACATTTTCAGACCTTGCTCTACTTTAAAAATCAGTACATTTCCCACCATGCAGTAGCCCTCTCGCCTTTCTGAAACTAGTGGTGAGGTTAGCAGTGGATGGAGAAGTTTGTAAGACTCTTTGTAGTTCCTGAAATTGATAGTCAAAGGAGTTTAATCTTCTATAAACATTATTTTTTAAAAATATGGTACTATTCAGGCTGCTTTCTAACATACTAAAAATTAATATATTAAGATAAACCGTTACAATCAAGGTGTTTTTCTTGTGTCTTTACATTATTTCAGAGTTAAAGGGAACAGAATACACTGCCCCTGATTACACCTCTTTGGCATAAGGACCGTTTTCAGCTGATTGTGAGAAACAGCAGACTAGAGTCTGAGAAAAGTGGAAGTTAACTTTTTGTAAAGGACGTTTACGTTTATAAAGGAAATTGCCCTCGCAGTACCAGCAAGAGGATACTGGCTAATCACAAGGCTCACTAAGGAGAAGGCAGCTACTTATCCTGCATAACAAAACCTACCTTCTCCCAGGTAACTTGTCCTAATTGCCCTCCCTCTGCACATCCCACTCCTGTTTTTTGTCTTTAACCGAAGATGGTAAATAAGGTGGTGGCTTGGGTTATTTTGGGGACTTTATTCTGTGTTCCTGAGTATATGTGACATATACATTGGTATACAAGCTGGTAAAATTCTTGTAGTTTTTCTCTTGTTAGTTTGTTTTCATTACAGAAAGTCTCAGCCAAAAACTCAGAATGGTACACGGAAAACGATTTCCTGCTCTCCTACACCATGCACTTCAAATCTGGGAGCAAACTTTACTAGTTATAATTGCAAAATACATCCTGTACCCACCCATCGTCTCCTGCCACCAATGAGATCAAGCCACGGTTGTCTCTCAAAGACCACTGCGATGTCTAATTTATATCCTTCTACAGTTTTGTATTTACCAGGCAGACAGTTGCCTCAGTGAACTTTCAAAGAAACGAAAGTCGGGTTATGCCATTTTTCTGCTCAGAACTGATAGAATGAACATCTAGAATGATTTGAAAATTCGCCGGGCCGTGCGGAGTCCCGCACGACCCCAACCCTCCTCCTCGTCTGGCCTCTACCTGCCGCTGAGCTCGCCCGCTGGGCCCGCACCCTCAGCTTTGGAACCTGCCCACCATGGCCTGTCTGTGAGGGCCTCCGGCGTTCGTGGTACCTTTTTTCCTTAGAACATCACCCAAGAGAGCAACATAACGTACTACCTGGTTTTACTCAAATCTTTGATCAAATACAATCCAGGCAAAATGTTTCCAGAGTCATGGGAACAGGTCGAAGAGTGCCCGCTCACCGCCACTGCTGTCTGACCGGATTCTCACCAGGCCGCCTGGTTTAGAAATAGGGTCCCTGCAGGTGGAATTATGAAGGATCTTGAGATAAAAACATCTTGTATTTAGAACGGGCTCTGAATCCAATGACTGCTGTCATCATGTGAGAAGAGGAGAGGACAGACTCACAGGCAAGGAGGGTGTGAGGGAGGTAGAGGTTGCAGGTGTGCGGCAGGCCAAGGACACCGGGACTTCTGGCAACCGCGTGCCGCCGAGTCACCGGGAGTCCTCACCCGCGAAGGCTGTACAACAGGGGTGTCCAACCCACCACTCAGGACGGCTGTGAATGTGCCCAACGTGAAATCATGTATTTACCTAAAGCTTTTTTTTTTTTTTTTTGCTCATCAGTTTTTGTTAGTGTTTGTGTATTTTATGTGTGACACAAGATCGTTTCTTCTTCTTCTAGTGTGGCCCAGAGACGCCAAAGGCTGGACACGCCTGCATCATGATCTTGGACCTCTGGCCTCCAGACCAGCGAGGGACGTTTCTGCTGTTCAGCGCTGCCAAGTTTGTGGGAAATTGTTACAGGCGGCCCTGGCACACTGGACTGGCAGTGACACAACGCTCCCAGCTCTCCCCACCCCTCTAGCCCTTGGACCTGATTTAGATTTCCCCAGAGTACTGATCACAAGTTGAAATTTAGTTTTAATTTTGGGAGGCCATTTCAGTATCAACCATTGTTCTATGTTGTTGTCAGCATTTTTTTACTGCAAGAATTTTTATTAGGGTAAGAAACAAAGACTTAAAAAAAATTGAGTAAATCTATACAAGATACATGTGAATATCCTACTTTCCATGCAATTTTTTCATAACGTTTTACTTTCAAGCGGGGAGATGTGGACCTGTGACTCTTTCACTGACGACTCACTTTCCCTTCTCTCATCCAATACAAATGCTAAGCTCTTTACCTGAATATAGTTAAGCGCTTCACTTTTAATCCTGAGGCATCGATGAGGTTACTCACCTCAAAAAGTGTACGAGTCCACTTTGCGGATGGTCACATGTATTTAATATGTATGGTTAGTATCCCGTTTCACGGGTACTTAAGTACTGACATCGGTGAGCTACAGTCAAGGTCTTTAAAATTTTATTTTTAGAGAAGGGAAGGAAAAAAGGGAGAAACGTCAACTTCTGGTTGCCTCTCACCCGGCAACTGGGACTCTGTCCGGACACCTAACCATGTCCCCTAGCTGGAACTGAAAAAGCAATCATTTTGTTCGTCGGCCAGCATTCAGTCCACTGAGCCACACAAGCCAGAACTAAAGTCATTTTTCAAGCAGCTGCTACAATACGGAAAAAGCAAGCCCTTTTAGTGAGAACATGGGTGGCTCTGAAAAGAGCCTTTGGTTAAGGTAGAGAAAGACTCAAATCTTCCACTTCACTTGCCCTTGGCCTTGTGGTGGCTCTCGGTCTTCTTGGGCAGCAGCACGGCCTGGATGTTGGGCAGGACGCCGCCCTGCGCGATGGTCACCTTGCCCAGCAGCTTGTTGAGCTCCTCGTCGTTGCGGATGGCCAGCTGCAGGTGGCGCGGGATGATGCGCGTCTTCTTGTTGTCGCGGGCCGCGTTGCCCGCCAGCTCCAGGATCTCGGCCGTCAGGTACTCCAGCACGGCCGCCAGGTACACGGGCGCGCCGGCCCCGACGCGCTCGGCGTAGTTGCCCTTGCGCAGCAGGCGGTGCACGCGCCCCACCGGGAACTGGAGGCCGGCCCGCGACGAGCGCGTCTTGGCCTTGGCGCGCGCCTTGCCGCCCTGCTTCCCGCGTCCAGACATGATGCACAGAAAATTTTGGTTTCGACTTGAATTGGAGTTGAAGCGCCCGGAGCTGCCCTGTTTATACTCGTTCCTGGGCGCGAAAGGGGCCCCGTGCCATTGGCGAAAAGTTACAGCGCTTTCGCCTAAACCAATGGGAATCCTCGCTCTGAAATACGCTTGTCCTGACTGGGCAACATTCGTGTGACGTTCCCACGAGTTACCGCCAGTCAGGCAGGACTTTACTCCCCGCCTCCTTTAAGAGGCTGTGACCCGGGAGGAGGACACTCGCATCCTCTCGCTCGCCGTTCCCCAGCGTCTGTGGCCTTTCCTGCCGACCATGCCCGAGCCCGCCAAGTCCGCGCCCGCCCCGAAGAAGGGCTCCAAGAAGGCGGTGACCAAGGCGCAGAAGAAGGACGGCAAGAAGCGCAAGCGCAGCCGCAAGGAGAGCTACTCGGTGTACGTGTACAAGGTGCTGAAGCAGGTGCACCCGGACACGGGCATCTCGTCCAAGGCCATGGGCATCATGAACTCGTTCGTCAACGACATCTTCGAGCGCATCGCGGGCGAGGCGTCGCGCCTGGCGCACTACAACAAGCGCTCGACCATCACGTCGCGGGAGATCCAGACGGCCGTGCGCCTGCTGCTGCCCGGCGAGCTGGCCAAGCACGCCGTGTCCGAGGGCACCAAGGCCGTCACCAAGTACACCAGCGCCAAGTAAGTGCCCGCTGCAGGCACCTCTTAATCCAACGGCTCTTTTCAGAGCCACCTACGTTTTCAGAGAGAGAGCTGCTGCTTAGCCTCCTGTGCTGCACTTTGTAACTGCATGGTCTACGAAGTCGGGCAGCAATCAAAGGTTGAGAAGCTGCCATGTTAAGGTAAGCTCGGTGAACCACTAAAGACAAAATAAAGTTAAACGATATTCTCAAATGTCCAGAATTCAATTGTGTAAGAACTCCCTGAGCCTTCCAGAGTCACTTAGGAACTTAACTATACTTAAGAGAGCGCTTGTCACTCTTCCTCAAGGCTAAGGAAGGAAGGGAGGGAAAATACTGAGGTCTGAGCAAATTCAAGTACGCCCGGGCCACTAACGCGGATAGAGCTGCACTCGGGGCGGGCCGAGATTGCGCGGGCAGTTTGAATTCGCCCGGGCGCGCGCCTTGCTCCGAGCCCGCAGTGGTCCCGCCCCCCAGGAAGCTCCACCCCCGGGGGGCCGGGGAGGCACCGGCTGGCCGCTCGATATGCACTGTCTGTCTGGTGGTCGATCCTGCTTATTCTTTCCTTTTCTTTAGCGTTGTATCCCACTCGGGAGTGAGTTTTATGTCCTCTTGAATTTTTTGTTGGAGAGGTAGTTACTGAAGGGTGTAATTGCCAGTCTGAGAAATACCAATGCTGGATTTGTTAACTCGGGATGCTGCTTTCCTTTTGCCAAAATATTTCCATATATTAAAGGCAAAAAACCACGAACACTTAGGGTCCAGTGAAAGCAAAAGAGCTTGAGAACACTGAAAAACCGTAGACAAAAAGAGATTCTACAGAAAGTTACAGGGTGATCTGATCATAAATTCCTGCCACAGGCCTGTGATCCTTCAGTAAAATACTTGTCTTTGCCTTAAGCCTTGTCCATTGTTTCTATGCATATAGGTTAACACACCTTTGAAATGTGTTTTTTTCAGTCTCTTCCTTCTAAAAGGTAACCACCCTCAAGAGAGCAAATAATTGTTTTAATTACATTTTATTGATTATGCTATTACAGTTGTCCTGATGTTTCCCTCCTTGCCCACCACCCCCCACTCCCTCAAGCAATCCCCCACCATTGTTCAAATAATCTTAACTAACCCATAATCCAATTCCTGCCTTGCTTTCTCCTACCTTTCTGTAATCTTACGTTCCTGCCTTAATTTCAAATGTGTAAAAGAAACTTCAAAACTGTTATTTCCTGGAGTATTGGAGATCTTGCTGCCCTGCACATGTCATCAATTTGGCTCAAATAAACTAAAAATTTCTACACAGGTTTGGATGTTTCTTATGTTGACAGTCCTTTGACTTAAAATTAAAAATTTATTGGGGTTACACTGGATAATAAAATGATACGTTTGACGGATAAATTCTATAATACATCATCTATATATTATGTGTCTACCACCCCAAGTCTTTTGACTTAAATTTGAATGGAAAATGTCAGTATGATCTCACTTAGAAAACAATTTTTTCCCCTAACACTTTTCACAGGAAAGGCCTACAAGCAATAAATTCACGAAGAGAGAATTGCCATCATAGAGATTATAGTTTCTCAATTTCTTTTTCAAAGAGCAAACCCTTTCCGGAGGTTTTGGTTAAATGTTATGAATTAAACTATATTAAGAGACATAGTAACTAAAGGCCATGTGTAGATCTAATGGAATCCTAATTCAGATAAAATTATCGTAAATATTTGAAGGACTACATACTGTATGTTACAAATCATTTTTTTAAATTTTCTTAGGTGTTATAAACTTGTATTTTGTTAAGTCTGTGTATGTTAGGAAGTTTGTAAAAGTATGAATGGTTGAAATACCATGTCTGTGATTTCTTTACACGGTCCCCCTCCCGCCCAGTGCAGGCAGGATCCCGAAACAACGTGGGTGAGATGCAGGCAGTTGTTGAAGCGCACGTGTCGAGCACTTGGAGGTAGGTTATTCTGTGCGCCTAACATTTGGCCCCCCCCTCCAGAAGTTTTATAAAAAGGCCGGCCCAATTAACTAACGTATTTCTCTTTTGCTTAACAAAGGATGATGCCGAGAAGAATCAAGTTTTGGCAGAAATTCTGGGACTGAACTACAGAGAAGAGGCCGAGAGGCCCTGCGCACGAGGAGACGCTCCCCGCCGCAGACCCCTCCTTCCTCTCCGGGGGGCGATGAGAATAGCTGTCGCCATCTGGTGGCCCTTTACGGTAACGTAGCGAAAACTTGGCTTTGTGTTAGGGTTCCTGTTAGGCAGTCAGTCCATTGCTAGGGTTTAATACCCGCATGTACAAAGAGTACAACAAACAATCCTGCCCTTAGCAGTTCTCCACTGCACAGCTTCCCAAATAAAAACAAATAAACACGTGTATTCATTTCCTGTGCATCCCTCTGGAATTTCTTTATTTCTTTTTTTATTTTCCCCCCTCTGGAATTTCTTCATACAAGCCCAAATACATCCACGTGGGTCCCCGCTACCTCTCTTTAACTCACCGCCAGCGGCCACCCGTTCCTCTCATGGTTCTGGCTCTCGCTGTTCTCGCTATGCAGCTTGGAACCCTTTCCTATGAGTGAGTACAAGGCTGAAAGCTCTCGGCAGGTGCACCCGAGCTAGTGATCCCAGGTGGGTAACCTGCGCCTACCGGGGACCCCATGATGGCTGCGTCTCCCCTACAGGTGGCTCTCGTCTCTAAAAGGAAGGGCCCGCGGGGGCTCTTTGAGGAGCCCCCAGGGGCTGAACCAGTCGGGACAGCGGTGGGGTGGCCGAATTCCTGTCCCCTTCCTGGAATGTGAATGCCGTGCTTGGCGAGGGGGGCTATGCAGGCCTTAACCCCGGGCACTCACCTTGGCAGTGAGGTTTTCTTTGAGTACCATCTTATAATGGAGTCACCTCTCACATTCCCTGTCCCTTTTCTTTACAATATGTATCAAGACCTGACGCGCTCTATATTTTACCGATTCACTTGCTGCTCTTCACCATGCCACCCTCCCCCGAGAATGAAAGTCTCTTGACACCTGCATTTTCCTTCCTTCTCCGCCCCTCCTCCTCGTCCTCCTGCTCCTCCGTCTTTGATCGCTGCTGTGTTGCCCCAGCCGCTGGCATTCAGAGCGTCCGTCTGAATAAATGAGTGAAGTAACATTCCTTGGCTCCACTGTTGCCAAATGGGAGACGCGCAAAGAATTGTCTTTACTTCCGTCAGTGGGTGATCCCAAAGATCAAAGAAAACTGCCATCCATCCACACCACTCTGAGGGCTCCCTCTGGTTGAATTCCCAGTTTTCTCTCCCCTAGAAAAATGTTCAGTGTTGTTCAAACTTGGATTGTTTTTTATTTTCCTGAATGTTTTTCATTAATAATTATAGGCACGCACATTATTTTTTTAAATATATACCAAATAGGCGATTGACATACTGTGTCGCTAGAAGAGATTTTCTGCCCTCTGTGAGTCTTGAACTCAGGGCCCTTCGGTTGGGGAGGACGCACCGCCTAGCGGGCTACAGGGGTTGCGGTGGACGGGACACCACAAACCCCCGCCGCCACCGCGCTGCTTTCTGGATTTCCATTCCTCCTGCCAGGGAAGTGCTGGCTTCTAAGGGCTTCTCTCCACGTGAGCTGACAGGCCTTCCTTTCCATTCCTGTGCTTAGAAGGGCCCCGCGCCAGGGCTGCGCCTGGCGGCTCGCCCTGCAGGAGGGCCGGTGGCCTGCGGGCTGGAGGCAGTTGCATTGGCCTTTGGTTTCTCTTGCTTCTGTTCCAAACATCTGACACTCCCTTCCAGCATTTCAACTGCTCTTGTACTGTTTGTGGTCTTGGTGGTGAAAGAATCTCCAAACCTGCAGAAAATTTTGTGAGAGTTTATTTCGGCTAAACGGGAAAACATGCCTGGAAGCACGGCTCCAGCAGACTGAGAAAATGCTCCAGGGAGTGGCAGTTTTTCAGCTCTTTTGGGTGTTTGGAGTGAAGGAGAAAAGAGGAAGATTCCAGGAAGGTGAGAGAAAACAAGAGGCAGGACAGTTACCCTGAACCTGTGCTCCCCAGGGAGGGGTTTTCCCTGAAGGGTCCTGAAGAGGGGGGTTATTTCTGGCCTTTCAAAGGCGTATCAACCTGGATGCACAAAGGACAGTGGACCTGGGGCGTGAGTCCCACCATGACCCGCCCGGGTAGCAGTGTGTGTTCGGATCACCCCGGGAAGTTACTTCCCATCACTGAACATGCCAGTTTTATTACAGAACACCGCCCACCTCTGCTGTCCACAGCGTCATCTGAAAGAACCGAAAGAATGGTCCCAGGGGTATAATTAGTAATAGCGGAAAAGAGAGCCAAGCATTCGCCAACATTATAGGGGATTGGAAGGCAGCTCCCCGGATGGCGCCCAGTGACCCTCGGCTCCTGCCATTTACACCCTCAGGTGATTCCATCCC